TAGACTGAGTGTCACTCACTGCCTCGGATTCCACACTAGACTGAGTGTCACTCACTGCCGCCGATTCCACACTAGACTGAGTGTCACTCACTGCCGCCCACCCATGTGGCTCCCCAGGTTTTGCAAATGCCCTGGAAACTGTTGAGATGAGGGAATCCTGGGTAAACTCTCTGTAAATCTAAACGTATTCCAAAATAAAAAATACTTGGAAAGAGGTGTAGCCACCGGTAATACCCGCTCCACAATTCAAGGAACAGAAGTGGGCCGAGTTTTATTTTTCAATGCTCCACCTGGGCTAGGAGCAGAAGTCCAGGTCTCCATCGGGAGCTCCCCCCACCCCCACCCCAATCCAGACAGCCTGGGCTTCCCCATTCCGTCAGTAGAGGGTCAGCTTTTTTCAAGAATGGAGCGGCTGTGTTGACCACGGGATGCACAGTCCAGCGCCCCAGCTCAGTGGCCGCCCCAGGGGGCCTGGACTCTGGGGGTCCTGCTCTGCTTTGAGGGTGCCAGTGCCACCCTATGCTCCCTCAGCTCCCACGCCTTTAGTGCTGGGGTGCCGGGCACCTCCTGCCTCACCCACGGGCTGTCTGGGAGCAGCCTGTCCCACAGGACCCTTCTGCCCCCAGGAACCTGGCCACAAGTCCTCGTGCCCCTCTTTGGGCACCCTTGATCATGTTGGGCTGGGGATGATAACAAATCAGGAGTGCAGCTTGGACCCCGGCCATCCAGGGCCTGTTCACTGCACTGCACGCCTCCACCCCCCACCACCAGCTCAGCCTCACTTCCTTCCAAGTCCATGAAATTGACCTCTACGAGGCCCCCCAAGCACCCCTTGGATTTATAACCTGAACCCCCCACACTCTCTGGACCCCTCTTGCTCCCTCTGTTATTTTCCCACCTCTTTATTTTAGTTGCATAAAATATAAGTTGCTGATTTCCCAGGTTTCAAATTGTTCTGTTTCCCCCTTCTCGGAATGTGAGCTCCCGGAGAGGCAGGGATGGTTCGGTTTTCCTCTGTTCATGAGTCCCAGCACCTAAGCAAGCCTGGCGCATAGTAGGTGCTCTCCCAAGCAAGCCTGGCACATAGTAGGTGCTCTGCTAGTGTCCACTTAACAAACGCACAAGTGGTTGGGGGACCTGGGGCCTGAGGGTCCACAGAGATTCAGACCACACTGTTTACTAAGTGACCGCCACATGCCAGCCTTGGGCCAGGCCCCTGACACTGAGGAGGAGCCGGGATTGAGGGCAGCCCAGGAACCCCAGGAGTGAGGGACAGGGCAGGAGCAGGACGGGCTGGGGAGGGGGTGCCCTCAGTCACTCACCCCTCTCACTGTTCTGTCCCCAGGGCTTTACCTGCAGGAGCCACAGGAACCGTGAGTACATCTCAGCCCTGGGGGTTGCTCAGGGCCTGGACTCCCCACCCCAGGCCACCAGGGCCGCTTTGTCCACCGTGGCAGGCAGGTCTGTCCTGCACTGTCCCCAGCAGCTGGGGTTCCCTTCTGGGCAGGGCAAACCACCATCACTCATCGATGTGTGTGTGACCCTGGCCACATCCAGGCAAGGCCGCCCCGGCTCCTGGCCAGAGGTGGGCCTGCCAGAGAGTCCCACGTCTCCACTTAACACACAATGCCTCTGCCTCGTTGCGTTCCAAACCTGCGGCCCGGCTGACAGCCCAGCAGCAGCAGATGGAAAACCCCATCTCTTCTAGCAAAGTTTTTTCCCCGTGTAAAGTGATCCCTACTGGGCCTTTAACAACTACCTTGATTTTCTTTGTAAACAGCGTATCTATTTATAAAAGGGCTCTGAGTGATGCAGACGCTATAAGGAAGAAAGTTAAAGCTCAACGAAAAGCCTCCATGTAGAAATAAGCAGTACTTACCTAGACCAACATTGCTCTGGACATTTTGGGTTTTTTTTTTTTTCTTATTTTTGATTTTTATAAGCATAGACATGAGGTCTTTCTGTCTTTGGTTGGTCAACCAAACCCAGGCTATTCTCAAATTCCTGGGCTCAAGCGATCCTCCTGCCTCAGTCTCCCAAAGTGCTGGGATTATGGGCATGAGCCACCGTGCCTGGCCTGTTCTAGACATTTGTGTAGCCAAATATACAGATATTTGCAGGATAAACAGATAAAAAATATTTTATAGAAATGAAATTACCTTATGTCATTTAAAGTATTTTATTTATTTTTACTTGAATTTAACAGAATAGATGGCTAAACTTTAATTAAATGTTTCTTTGCCTCAAGGACCTCTAAGTTTAGGGGAGGAGATTAGACCAGCCTGGTCCCAGCGCAAGGATGAAATGCTAATTCACAAAGTGGACGATATTAACAAACAAACAACAAACGCAAAGCATGGCCAACGCGGTGGTCACACCTGTAATCTCAGCACTGTGGGAGGCCGAGGCGGGCGGATCACCTGACGTCAGGAGTTCGAGACCAGCCTGGCCAACACGGTGAAACCCTGTCTCTACTAAGAATACAAAAAAAAAGGCCGGGCGTGGTGGCTCACGCCTGTAATTCCAGCACTTTGGGAGGCCGAGGTGGGTGGATCACGAGGTCAAGAGATAGAGACCATCCTGGCTAACATGGTGAAACCCCATCTCTACTAAAAATACAAAAAAAATTAGCCGGGCGTGGTGGCTGGCACCTGTAGTCTCAGCTACTCGGGAGGCTGAGGCAGGAGAATGGCGTGAACCTGGGAGGCGGAGCTTGCAGTGAGCCCAGATTGCACCACTGCACTCCAGCCTGGGCGACAGAGCGAGACTCCGTCTCAAAAACAAAACAAAACAAAACAAAAAAAGCTGAGCATGGTAGCACTTGCCTGTAATCCCAGCAACCTGGGAGGCTGAGGCAAGAGAATCACTTGAACCCAGGAGGCAGAGGTTGCAGTGAGCCGAGATTGTGCCACTGCACTCCAGCCTGGGCGATAGAGTGAGACTCTACCTCAAAAAAACATAAATAAGTAAAAAAATACAATCCCGTTTAGTATTTCTAATAGATTTCCTATTGAGTCTCCTTTTTTAAATAGCTGATCACATATTCTGCAGCTAATGACAGCTTGTAAAACTATGCATTGGGTGGAGGGTGCGGATCTTGTGGAATTGGTTCAGATCTCCAGGGCAATGTTGAAAGAGGGAATTCCTGTCTGAGTCTTGATATTAATGGTATATTAATGGTAATGATTCCGAAGGTTTACTGCTCAGTGTTAAGTTTATTGGATGTTTGCACTAGATGTCCCTGATCTAGACAAAGAGGTACCTTTCTTTTCCTAGCTTGCTAAGCATTCTTTTATCATGAATAGGTATTAAATTTTATGTAAAATGTCTGCATCTATGAAAATTATCATATAGGTTTTTTACTTTAACCTCCCCCACCTTTTTTTTTTTTTTTCTTTTTTTGAGACAGAGTCTCGCTCTGTTGCCCAGGCTGGAGTGCAGTGGTGCAATCTGGGCTCACCGCAACCTCTGCCTCCCAGGTTCAAGCAATTCTCCTGTCTCAGCCTCCTGAGTAGCTGGGATTACAGACATGTGCCAACATGCCTGGCTAACTTTTTTTGTATTTTTAGTAGAGACGGAGTTTCACCATGTTGGCCAGTCTGGTCTCGATCTCTTGACCTCATGTTCCGCCCACCTCGGCCTCCCAAAGTGCTGGGATTACAGGCGTGAGGCACCGCGCCCAGCCCTAATCTGCTCTTAAAAATCACCCATTGCATTTTAATTCTGTTGCGGTGGTTTTGTTTCTAGGAATTCCGTTTCTCTCAAGTGTGCCCGGTCCTTCGTCACAGCCTTTCCCACTGCCTGTATTTTCAAGCCTGTTTTTTCTCCTGCTTGGCCTGTGGCTGGTCACTGGAGGACACCGTGGGCCCAGCCTCTCTGCAGCGTCACTCCAGGCTCTGCTTCCTGGAGTGCTTGTTTACCTTCAGTGGCTCAAAGTCCCAGGATGGAGGGCCTCCCGGGGGTTGGATTCCCATTGTTGCTGGGTGGCGCCAGGAGCAGTGCCTGACTGTCCGGCCGTTTAAACCAGATTCACAGGTTGAATCTGGTTTAGACTCCAGCAGCTGGGTCTTCCTGGTGGGCCCAGCCTGGGCTGTGAATCTGTACTCGGTTTTGGGCTTTTGGGGAGCGTTCTACTCTCCGCTACTCCACTCAGCGACTCTGGAACTTTCTACTCCCCGCTACTCCACTCAGTGACTCTGGGCTTTGGGGAGAGGATCGGTCCAATTCTCACTAACCCAGGTCAAGGCCCAGCTCAACCTGGGGAAGTTCTCCCTCACCATGTGCTGGGGCCTCCCCACAAAGCCCTCAGCTCCCACTGGGTTAGAAACCCTCCCTCCATCCCCCATCCCTGTAAAGCAACCTCCTATGCCCCGCTTTCCTCAGCCCCCTATCCTGATACGTTTCGCAGCTCTCATACCTTTCTAGGAAGTTTTTTAAAAAAGTATGTTTTTTCTCCAGCCTAATTAGTACTTTTCAGCAGTTGAGTCGGTGTAAATGGCCTGGTCTCCCATATTAGGGAAGTGTAGTCCCAGCGTGTTTTAATTTTTATTTTTGTTATACTGTATTTTTTTTTTTAAATTTTTCGACAGGTGTGGGGAACAAGGTTTTGCTTTGTTGCCCGGGCTGGAGTGCAGTGGCGCAATCTCGGCTCATTGCAACCTCCGCCTCCCGGGTTCAAGGGATTCTCCTGCATCAGCCTCTCCAGTAGCTGGGATTACAGGCTCCCAGCACCACTGTGCCCAGCTAATCATTGTATTTTTAGTAGACATGGGGTTTCACCATGTTGGCCAGGCTGGTCTCAAACTCCTGACCTGAAGTGATCCGCCTGCCTCGACCTCCCGAAGTGCTGGGATTACAGACGTGAGCCACCATGCCCGGCCCAGGTGTTTTTAAACACACACAGTTGTCCTCAGCCTCCTCCTCTGTCAACACCAGTTTGAATTCCCAATTCCCCACTGTGTTTCCCATTCTCCGCGCTCGCCGGTCCTTTCCGTAACCGATTTGTTCCTGTTGAGGTCCCTTCTCCTTCCTGGAGGAAGCACATCTGTCAGGCACTCTTCTGGTAAAGTCTCTGGGTGTTATTTATGTGCCTTATTTTGGATGAGGCAAAACATTTATTTCTAAGAGTTTATGATGAATTGTAGTTTCACAGCTTTTTCCACACAGTAACAATGAATTCTGTTTTGTACCACACTAATCTTGTGTGTTTCTGCTTTACTCACCCTTCCTTCCACACAGCCTCCTCTTCATTTTGTCAGCTTAGTTGGGACAAGAGCCTGTTCTTATTTTTGTACATTTTATTTCTCAATGAGCAGCTTCTCCTCCTGCACCCGTTTCACTAACTCTGTACATGTCCTCATTTTCCGTGCTCAACGTGAGTCCTTCTCCTCTGTGGCTTTACCATTTTTTTTTTTTTTTTAACTTTCTGGTTTTGATTCCTTTCTTGGTTGTCTGGAATAAGTCTTTGTCTTTTTTCTGGAAAGGGTCAAAAGATGCAGATTTCTCATTTCTTGCATGAAGGAGGTTGTCTTTTTTTTTTTTTTTTTTTGAGATGGAGTCTCACTCTGTCACCCAGGCTGGAGTGCTGTGGTGTGCTGTGCTCACTGCAACCTCTGCCTCCCTTCCTCTCCTACCTCAGCCTCCCGAGTAGCTAGGACTACAGGTGCGTACCACCATCCCCAGCAAATTTTTGTATTTTTAGTAGAGACAGGGTTTCGCCATGTTGGCCAGGCTGGTCTCGAACCCCTGACCTCTGGTGATCTGCCTGCCTCGGCCTCCCAAAGTGCTGGCATTAAAGGGGAGTTGTTGGCCGAACACACACGGATGACAACATAGACACCGAGTTCTAAGGCACAGTCATTTCTCTGAAGATTGCTGCATACCAAGCCCCAGGGAAGATCCTCCAAGGGAAGGAAACACCAGCCTTGGGGACGAAGCTCTCCTCACTCCCCTCAGTCCCCGCCCCGCTCCCTAGCACAGCCTGGCTTTTTATCCCCAAACCATCCGGCTTTATTTTATTTCTAAATTTTCAATTTATAGCTATTCTTTGCTAGTATATAGAAATACAGTGTTTGGGAGGCTGAGGCAAGTGGATCACTTGAGGTCAGGAGTTCAAGACCAGTCTGGCCAACATGGCGAAATCCCGTCTCCACTACAAATTAAAAAATTAGTTGGGTGTGGTGGTACGCATCTGTAGTCCTAGCTACTCGGGAGGCTGAGACACGAGAATCACTTGAACCTGGGAAGCAGAGGTTGCAGTGAGGCGAGATCACACCGCTGCATTCCAGCCTGGGCGACAGAGTGAGGCCCTGTCTCAAAAAAACACAAAACATGGCCAGGTGTGGTGGCTCAAGCCTGTAATCCCAGCACTTTGGGAGGCCGAGACGGGTGGATCACGAGGTCAGGAGATCAAGACCATCCTGGCTAACA